AGAGAGAGAGAGAGAGAGAGAGAGAGAGAAAGAGAGAGAGAGAAAGTGTGTGTGGACACATTGGGGAGGTGTTAAAATGTCATATCGTTTGTGTTTGTGTGTGTTGAAGTATAAAATAGAAGCAACAGAAATGTGGTTACTTAGGAGACTGTTGAGAATATCGTAGAAGGAAAAGAAATCAAATGAGGTAGTGCTTGATGAAGCCCACGTGGGGCACTCACTGTTAAAAAACAATCAGGAAACGACAAATGCAGATTGTGGGACACCTGAATAGACATAAAGGTCTTGACCATCTAGCTCTCAGTGGCAAAATTGAATGCAAACGAGGCAGGGGCAGGCCCAGAGCAACCTACTTAGGGAATCTAAACAAATGGGTAACGGGGAAAGATCCGGGAAACATGGCTTTTTTAGGAGCATCCGAGCAAAGGAATGAATGGAGAACCATGATCGCCGATGTCTGCTTCAGATCTGGTACAGGATGATGGTAGTTGCTTAGTTGGTTACTTAGCTAGTTGGTTGGTTGGTTGATTAGTTTGTTGGTGCGTTTGTTTGCTTGTTTGCTTGTTATGTTTGTTTCATGTTCTGTCTTAATCATTGGTTATTCGGATGTCGTCTTTATAGGAGGAGGGGTTTTGAAAGGGGGGGGGGAGAAGTCTAAACTCTCTACACTGAAGTTCTATCACAAATTGTATGAGGCATGCTTATTGAAGCCTGTGTACCTGAGAGGGAAGGGGATATGGGTTAACTAAAAATTCTGTTCTAAGAATTCGTAATATTTAATTGTGTATGTGTGATTTCTGTTTGTGTGAGGGTGGGTTATTGGCGGGTGCTCTGGTGTGGTTTGCTCCTTCTTTCCAATGACACCCTCTTGTAACACCTCTAATCTTCTGGCGCTCATATGGCGCTCATATGACCTTATGCAGATGTGAGCGCCGTAAAACCTCTACAAAAAAGAAAACGGTATTTCCTTCTTACTTTTCAACTGAACCATTACATGGGTCTGACCTTGGCGTTCTCTTTTCTTTTAATTTTCTCAAAGCGTCGGCGAAAAAAAATAATCTTATAGACCTAAAAGAAATGGCTAAGGCCCTTGTGTAACGATATTGACGTATGACACATTAGAACTTACCCCCTTACCCCCTCCACCCCACCCCCCCAAACAAACAACAAAACAAAACAAAAACAAACAAACAAGGCAGTAGTACTAACTGACTGAAATTCCAAAGAAGGGATATTAACATAATGTTCTTATGCACAATAGAATTGTAAATGGGCTGATTTATCAATGTCATTCTCATACTATGCCAGAACGACTTAAAGGGAACTGTTGCTTTTTCTTTCCCCATCCTTACTATCGTCAGTTTCCCTCTTCTTCTCTTGTATGTTTGTCACTCTCTTGTGAACTGCTATTTCCAGGGTGCCTTGATAGCCGAAGCAGACTTTGTGCTATTGAGACTAGAAAGCTGAG